ATAAAATTACAATCACAAAATGGAGGCCAACCACACAATTCTGGGAATCATGGCCCAGCCAAATTGATACACACATTTTTTGAGAAACATAACTCAAACCATGACAGGAGCCCCAGCATCCTTGAAGACTGCTGTGATTACTATTTTATGTAAGTGAAATTTGACGTGAGAACTGCTCTCACTGAATTAAGATACAATTATAGTGAGGCTGATTGCATGCCGTGGTGGTACGGGGCAAGTGGTGGCACTCAACAAAGACAGGGTAGGTGTGGTTACCGTAATGGACAGCAGAGTCAAAGCAGTAATCAGACTAGTCTGACTCATATGCATTATGGCGTTGGCTTCTTAGTCATTATGTACTTAGGAGTAAAATAGATGGGAAATCTACTAAATATATACTTGATCTGTAGAAGTGGAAGAATTCTAGGTCAAGTGAATGACAGTCTAACTTGAATCACCAGAATAGAGAATCCTGGCCCTTCGGTCAGTTCCCAGACTTGAGCCAGTTTACAGACCCACAATCCATTGCGGAAGCACCCCACTACCCTGCCAAAAATTTATACTGTCAATCTTTCTCTCACCGTTCCCTAAAGGGATCTATGACCTTTTATGAGAGTGACTGTTCATTGGGGAAAAGGAAATAATCAGACTTTTCGGGGACTACTAGATACTGGCTCTGAACTGACATTAATTCCAGGAGACCCAAAACATCACTGTGGCCCACCAGTCAGAGTGGGGGTATATAGAGGTCAGGTTATTAATGGAGTCTTAGCTCAAGTTCATCTCACAGTGGATCCAGTGAGTCCCCAAACCTAACATGTAGTGATTTCCCCAGTTCCAGAATGCATAATCGGAATAGTTACACTCAGAAACTGGCAGAACCCCCACATTGGATCCCTGACATTGGAGTAAGGGTTATTAATGGTAGGAAAAGCCAAGTGGAAGCCATTAAAATTGCTCCTACCTAGGAAAATAGTAAACCAAAAGCAGTACCACAATCCTGGATGGATTGCAGAGTTTACTGCCACTATCAAGGACTTGAAGGATGCAGGGATGGTGATTCCCACTGCATCCACATTAAACTCATGTATTTGGCCTGTGTAAAAAACAGGTGAATCTTGGAGAATGACAGTGGATTATCAAAAACTTAACCAGGTGGTGACTCCAATTGCAGCTGCTGTTCCAGATGCGGTTTCATTGCTTGAGCAAGTTAATAGATCTGGTATCTGGTATGCAGCTATTGATCTGGCCAATGACTTTTACTTGATTCCAGTTTTGAAGAAACAGCAGAAGCAATTTGCCTTCAGCTGGCAAGACCAGCAGTACACCTTCACTTTCCTACCTTAAGGGTATATCAACTCTCCAGCCCTATGTTGTCATTTAGTTCACAGGGATCTTGATCACATTTCCCTTCAACGAGATGTCACACTGGTCCATTACATTGATGACATTATGCTGACTGGACCTAGTAAAGAAGAAGTATCAATGACTCTGGATGTACTGGTAAACACTTGTGTGCTAGAGGATGGGAAATTAATCCAACAAAAATTTAGGCACCTTCCACCTCAGTGAAATTTCTGAATCCAGTGGTGTGGGGCATATCAAAATATTCTGTGTAAAGTGAAGGATATGTTGTGTCCAGGCATGAACCAGTAACTTGAAATAGTAAAGTGTGTCCCTGGTGGCCACAAGACCAAAGCAGATCTCTGTGGTCCACAGTGGGACAGCAGAGGTTTTATAGCAGTCAAGGACAATAGTGGCTACAAGCTAGGGAGTTACATAAGACTGCCTCAGCAAAGTCTCAAATCCGGGGTTGGAAAACAACAGTGAACTAACGGAAAGTGTGAGGGCAGCCACATTCTGCCTCACAAAGCCTGTTTTCCCCCTTCAATTTGTTACATCTGGCCTTTCCTACAACTAATAAGGAGGCACGATGCCTGGTCGGACTCTGGGTTTTGGAAGCAACATATCCCTCATTTGGGTGTGCTACTTCAGCCTATTTAGCCAGTGACTTGAGCAACTGCCAGCTTTGAGTGGGGCCCAGAGGAAGAGAAGTCTCTACAACAGGTTCAGGCTGCCATGCAAGCCGCCCTGCCCCGTGGGCCATATAATCTGGCTGATCAAATGGTGCTTGAAGTGTCCGTGACAGATAAAGATGCTGTTTGGAGTCTTTGGCAGGCCCCTATTTTTCAATCACAGCGCAGACCCTTAGGATTTTGTGCACAGCCCTGTCATCTTCCGCAGGTAACTACTGTCCTTTTGAGAAACAGTTTTTTCTGTGTTACTGGCCTTGGTAGAGACCGAATGCTTAACCATGGGCTACCAAGTCATAATGCTGCCTGAGCTGTCCATCATGAACTGGGTGTTGTTTGACCCACAGAGTCATAAAGTGGAACGTACACAGCATTACTCCATCATTAAATGGAAGTGGTATATAGGAGATCAGGCTCTAGCAGGACCTGAAGACACAAGTAACTTGCATGAGGAAGTGGCCCAAATGCTTATGATCTCCACTCCTGTCATATTACCTTCCATCTCCCAGTCTGCACATATGGCCTTAAGGGGAGTTCCTTGTGATCATTTGACTGAGGAAGATGATACTCGTGCCTGGATTACAGATGGTTCTTCTGTGCAATATGCAAGCACTACTTGAAACCCAGCAGAGAAGTAGATAGTGCTGTGGTGGGGCTGGGGATAGCTGGCGTCAGAATTAGTAAAAAGGTTGGGAGTGGAGGCATGACCTCTGCCTCGTAGGAATCAGCTTTGGGCTGATGATCTTGATTCTCATTATCCTTCCTGAAGTTACACAGGTTCTGATGCTACCGCTACTATTATCTCATTACAATGCCTTAAAAGTTATTGAAAGTAGAAATGAGGCTGTTGGAAACGTGATAATCTAAATACTTCCTTTAGATTTATGTAAAGAAGAATAGGCCTCCCTACCAAATGCCCACTGAAATCTTGTAGAATTAATTCTTCTTTAGGTGAAAATGAATCCAAATACATTTTACAGGGTTTGTTTCCACACCTGAAAGAATATTTTGAAATAGAAAACAAAATAGGTAATATAAATAATAATTTTTTTAATTTAAAAAATGTGCTTTCTAGCTGCTCTCAAGTATCAGGTGGACTTTAAATTACATTTACAAATTTAGTATTCCAACAAAATACATCACCAAAGTTTATCACAAAGGTATTGAGTTTATAATTCATCTCAAGTATGGAATAGAATGATAACTATACAGAAGAAAAAAAAACCCAATTTGTATATATTTTTTAAAGTTATTGCTATTTTTTAAGCACAGGTTGGTGACCTAAATTACTACATCCCTTAACCCTCCACGCCCCACAACCAAGATGTGGCATGGAAAGTGTCAGGAACTGAATATAGGGTTGAGTCTGTGCCTCCTGGGTGCATGAGGGATAGAAGTGGAAATGATGCTCTGAGGGGCGTCAGGATGAAACTGCACATTCGCACACGCAGTTTTGCATTTCACACTTTAGTTTGCGTAGCTTACACAGGCAACTCCAGTGCTTTCTTCATTAAATTGCTTAAATTGTAATTGCAAGAGTGGTTTCTGGGTCCAACCACTTCCTCACATCAAACTCCACTGAGGTCTCAGAGCCCTGTCTCCTGAGTTAGTACTGGTTTACTCATAGGACCCACGTCTCCACCTGTTGGAAAAATAAGTTTCCACTTAAACCGTTTTCAACTTGTTAGGAGGAAAACAGCAGATTCCAATATAAGTGTTCCACACAACTCTAAGCTTTTGCCTTAAACACTAACTAAAAATAGCACTTTGTTATTGGTACTTTTTAGTTGAGGGGAAATCGATACAGAGCCTGTCTAAGGAGGTGATTCTGAATATAGGTTTTAACTGCCAACCTTTCCGCTAGAAGTAAAATGCTTAACATTTTAAGCCGCCTGAAGACTTCTCAGGAAAGAGAGGGCCACTAAGGAAGGTCCGCGCAGCCCCTCCCCTCCTCGGCGAGCCCTGCCCAGGCCTGGCGGGTCTCCACATCCTGCCCCTTGCCAGTTGGCCCCGCCTCCACGCCTTTGCGGCTCTTCCCGCCGCGCGCCTGCGCAGTTCACTGCAAACGCGGAAGCGGGTTGTGTGGAGAGAAAGTCTCAGTGAGGTGAGTGTATTTCCGTCTTTGTGGTATAAACGTGCGCTTATATGTCATCGTCCTCCACACGCGGTCCTGAGGATCGCTCCGGACGTAATGAAGTCTCCACACCTGCCCTTCCCACCCCCGGAGATCCCGGCGAGACCGTGAGACGTTCTGAGCTTTGGTCGTTCCGCCGCCTGCCGGGGATCCGCGTCCATTTCGGTGTAAAATCGCGCTGACGTGGGTTCACGCTCTGGCCTTCCAGCCATCGGGCTGTGTCGACGCCGCCTGCCGCTTTATTTTCCTGCTTAAACCCATCCCTGACTCCCGCCCGGCTCCAGTCCTCACAGGGAGTCTCTGGCGACATCCATCCTCTCCCCCCTCAGTGTTGCCCCTGGCGGGCAGCGCGGGCCGCCTGTCCTCTCCCTGGTCCTTGGATTCTGAGACCCCCACCTGTCTCCTCAGACCCCGTCCTCGCGTCTTCCTGTATGTAAAGAAAAGCAGTGATTTGTCTCAGTCAATTCGGTTTCACCCTCTTCCCTTTACAGGTGTGAGGTGGGGTGGGGAGTGAAATGGGGGAAGAAATTAATGACTGTCACCACGTGGTGCCTTTGAAAAGGAACGTTTAAAGTTGTTTTTTTTAATGGATTTACTTTTTTCTTAATTCATTTTCCTGTTCCAGGCTTATTGAAAATGTTTATTGAATTTCAACTTTCCTCTAAATAATCTTGTCAAAAGAAACTGAGTCAATAATAAAATTATTGTATGAGGTTTATTTGGGCAGAAGATTTCGCGAATCAGATAGCGCCAAACCTAAAGTAGAAAGTTACTGTGCGAGTATAAGAATTGACTGGATTTTTATTGACAAACTTGGAAGCAAAAAAGCTTATTTCTGATTGGCTTATACAGTTTAAGCACTGCCAGGGTCTTATTGGTCAAAGAGGGTTACTTGATTTACAGGAAAACTAGGCTTAATTAGGCATAAATTTCAGAGTTGCCCACTCAACCGCTGGTGCCATTTTGTCAGCCACAGAATTCATTTTTATTTCGTTTAACAATCAGTATCTTCTAAGAGTAATAAACAGTCTGTTAAAGTAAAGCAAAGAGATTTATTGTAGGTTCCATAACAGTCCAGACTGGGGAAAATGTCTAATTTTACAGAGAGAACAAATCTTCCAAAGTGGTGAAGCTGCGAAGACCTTTTAAAGGGTGAGAACAAAGGACTTGAGCTGTACTGTTTTGACTGGGCATTACAAACTTAGATTGATACAAGGCAGGTTACTGGAAGTGGGGTTAGGAGCGGGAAGGTTACAGGACATTTCTCTCAGAAACAGGTTGCTCAAGTGAAAACTTTCTTGTCAGCAGTTGCCTAGGAGATCTAGATAAGAGTCAGCATCAAGGTCTTCCTCCCGAGACGCTGTTTCAGGAAGGGTCTTGGTAGCTTCTGTGAAACAGTTTTATTGTTATTCTCTCAGCTTAACCACAGAGAAAAGGGGAAAACTTTGTTCACAGGCTTCAAAGAATAAGTCCAAAACCCATTGCCATTGAGTCAGTTCCAACTCACAGCAACCCGACAGGACAGTAGAACTGCCCCACAGGCTTTCCAAGGAGCAGCTGGTGGATTCAAACTGCTGATCTTTTGGTTAACAGTCAAGGTCTTAACCACTGTGCCACCAGGGCTCCAAAGAGTAAGACACAGGTTTATATGTATTAAAAGAAAGACAAGATGGAGTAGGGACCCAGTCTAAACCATGCATTTTACTTTAGTCAAGTGCCTCAGCTTACTTGCTCTTAACTCACTCCTGAAATGATCTTTATGGCATCCCATGATGAGCACATGGTATTCTTTTCTACGTATGTTCTTTTTTTTATTCACATTGATTCCAGACTTCATTAAATTTTTTTTTAATTTCCAAATTGTTTTCCCTTTTAAATTAACTGTGTCCGGTTCAAATTATGAGACCTGCATGCTTTCTGCTCTTTGTCACATATTGTAAACGTTCTTTGGTACCTTGTAAATGTTAGACTATTTCAAAGCCCACTTTGTAAGAATATCAATGACATTTATATTAACAGACAAAACCTAGCTTAAGCAGTTAATGAATTAACCAGTTAATTTAACTTTCTTCCCTCATGTGATCTGTTAAAATAGTGAGCTACAAGTAGATGTTTCCGTCTAGTACCTGTTGTCATCTCTGTGCAGGTGATGAAGGCTGGGATGGATTGACTTGGAACCTTGTTCTAACAGAGCTTGTCTATTCACAAGGAAGTTTTTTTTTTTTTTTAAATGTAAAATATATATAACAAAACATTTGCCAATTAAACAATTTATACATGTATAACTCAGTAACATTGATTACAATTTTCATGTTATACAACCATTATCATTATCCTTTTCTGACTTATTTCACCACCATTGACATAAACTCAGTGCCCTCTAAACAGTAACTGTACCTGTCCCCCTCCCTCCCATCTGTGGTAACCGCTAATAAACTTTAGTTGCTATATATTTGCCTATTGCATACAAGTGAGATCCTACAGTATTTGTCCTATTATGACTGACTTATTTCGCTCAGCATAGTTTTTTCAAGGTTCATTTGTGTCATAGCATGCATCAGGACTTCATTCCTCTTTGTGGCTGAGTAATATTCTATTGTATGTATATACCACATTTTGCTTATCCATTCATCTGTTGATGGGAATTTAGTTTCCACATTTTGACTGTTGTGAAAAGTGCTGCAATGAACATTGGTGTACAGGTTTCTGTTTGCATTCTGTTTTCATTTTTTCTGGGTATATACTTAGGATTGGGACTGTTGTGTCATATAAATTTGAGGATTGTTTTTCTGCTTCTGTAAAGAAGGCTGTTGGAATTTTAATGGGAATTGCACTGAATTTATGGAGTTGTTTGGGTGAAATTGACATCTTAACTGTATTAATAACCCTTCCAATCCATGAACATGGAATGTCCTTCCATTTATTTAGGCCTTGTAATACAGTGTCAGGACTCATCTAGATTCCTTCAGAATAAGAATCAGCACAAAGCTGGTTTCTATGAGGTAGAGGCCAGAGGTACCTCCACTCTCCAACTTCTTTACCATTCCTGACATCAGCTATTTCCCCCATGGCACGCTGTACTTCTCTGCTAGGTTCAGTAGTTCTTTGGAATGGCCACAGAGAACTCAGGGACCATACTTAAAGTTATGTGGTTTATTAGGGAAGTAACAGGAACAGCTCAGAATCAGGAAGCACATAGGTGAGGTTTGGAAGGCTCCTCTGAGGTGGAGAGCACATCCGTCCCTTCTTCAGTGCAGGACCGCTTCCAACTATGACAGTTCTCTCAGCTACTCTTGGCCGTGAAAGCACGCTTTTGGCCATGCAAGCATGCATGTTCTTCTTGGCTATGCACGCCCCCTCTCCGTCATGCATTCCTCTCTGCCTTCAGTTTCCCTGCTGTTGGCCTCTTCATTGCCAGCTGGGCCAATTCACGGCCAATGTAGCAGCCTGCTCAGCTCTCTTTGCTGCTTTCCTAGCAGCAGCTTTCTGCCTCCACTGCTGGCTTTCTGCCTCCACTGCTGGCTTTCTGCCACCAGGGCTCCCTTCCAGGCCACTTGCCGCTGGCTCCCAGCCTCCTTTTTTGGCCCCTTTCTGGCTCTCTTGTTATCTTAGTGTTAACGGCGCTTGACCCATATTACAGCTCTTTAGGAGGCTCCTCTTTCACGGACCCCCGGGTCCAAAACGCTGCACTTCAGGCCGTTGGTCTTGAGGTTCCCTTCTTGCCTCTTCTCTCTCTAGAAAACCTGTGTGGGGGTTGGCTGCTTATATAAGCAAATTCCTTGTCAATTTCAAGGTATGGCCATCACAGCAGGACCACAAAACAGCCAATCCCCTTAATGGGCTACAAGTCACTCAATCCTATTGGGTGGATTTTCAAGCCACTATTTGATAGCAAATCCTGCAAATTGCATAAAATAGACCAGTTGCGGAGCAAACTGTGGCCCAACCAATCATTTTTGGTGGAATTATAAGCCCAAGGCCAGAAAGATCGTATATAAGGGAAATCCATTGCACTGCAGGCCTCCTTTAATTTCTTTTATAGTTTTATAGTTTTCTGTGTATGGTCTTTTACCTTGGTTAAATTTATTCCTAGGTGTTTTATTCTTTTAGATGCTATTGTAAGTGGAACTTTTTCCTTGGTTTCCTTTTCAACTTCCTCATCGCTGACGTATAGAAACCCGACTGATTTTTTATTTTTGCGTGTTGACTTGTTCCCTGTCACTTTGCTGAATTCACTTATTAGCTCTAATAGTTTTCTTGTGGAATCTTAGGGATTTTCTATATACAAAATCATGTCATCTACAAAAAGAGGTAGTTTTACTTCTGTCGTAGGGGGAAAAAAATCACAAAGTTTAGTAAAGCAAAAAGAAAGTTATTCAGCATATGTTCAAAGAGACAAAAGTGGGAAATGGACAAGCATGCTTCTAGAGCCATCTCTGCCCAAGTCCAAAGAATATTACAGAATAGGCAAGAAAGGGAAAATGGACAAGCATGCTACTAGAGCCACGTCTGCCCAAGTCTGAGGAACGTTACAGAATCATCAGTATATATTAACATTACAAATGGGCAAAACCATTGAAAGCTTCACCTTTTCACAGATTAGCTAGAGACTGTGATCCTACATTTTGAATTGCCTTTCTTAACAATCATTGGTACAGGTTTCAGTAACAACAGTCAGGAGGGTCTTCATTCCTTCAACCAATTTTCTGTTTACTAAATGCTAACAGAAAAAGATGAGTGGAAGGTCTTTTGTGTTCTGTTTGATTGGTTTATGTGAAAGGTCCCCTAAAAGATATTTTCCAAGATTGTCCTAGCTGTTGTCTTTATATCCCAGGGCCCAGTTGATGTGTCCTTGTGAGTCTTTGTGAGCCCAGCTCCAGCTGGGTCATATTCTCTGTGCTCAAGAACAGGGAATAATGACTCCAGTATTATTTCCTAAATCACTTCCTCCTGCCTGATTTGGATACCTT